TATATAATAACACTTTATTCAAAACATTTATATATAACGATGATCATGTAAATGAATCAGTAATTAAGGTATCAAATATGAAAAATGTAAATGACTCATATAAAGCTAACATTTGTAGAGTTAATAACCATAAAAAGATTGCGCATGATGATCATATTTAAAACTCAAGGATAAATTTTTGAAGATGACATACAGTAAACCAAAGGATAAAACTGCTTCGTACTATTGAATGTGGCTATTGATTACCGAGTTGTTCAAGAGGATTCCTTAGTCAGATTAGATTAAAATTTGTCGTATTTAACTTTTAGGAACTTCGCTGTCTCTTCTTCGTTTAGCAGATGGCTCAGTGTTTTCTAAAGGGTATTGACTCATATTAGGAACAAGTCTGCGAACAATTGCATTGAAATGTTGCTCAAGCTTACGACCCATCTTCCAAATTTCAGTTTCACGCTATTAAGATAAAAATATGTTAAAAATAAAATAAAACCTGCCGAAATAAAGAAAAAAATCTTTACTTACCAAATTATAAATGTAGCAGTTAGCAAAAATCAATCGAATATCAGAAATAAATTCTTCTAAACTTTTGTAATGTTGAAAATGTTGAGGATTTAATTTTGTAAGTACAGTGTGCAAATCCATCGGTTTATTAATAACTTTGTAATAGTCAGGAGCTTGCTAAAATACATAAAAACTTGGTACATTTATATCAATGATAAAAAAAGAAAGTTTTAATATATATATATATATATATATATATATATATATATATATATAATATATATATATATATATATATATATATATATATATATATATATATATATATATATATATATATATATATATATTATGTTGATAACAATATATAATATAAACAATGATAATAATAATTAAAAAAAAATATGATAGAAATTTTAGACTTTAAAATACAACGGTTTGTAAAATTACAAAACCTTAAAAATACCATAAGGCCTTAATTTCATGAAGTATAAAAGTTGACAACTTTAAATTATTTTTTTTTTTTTGAAACTGAACATAAAAAACTTAAATTTGATGGAAACTTTGACAGAAAGCTGGAACTAATTACTATTTTGGTAGTTATGAAGAATTAGTTACATTAGTTGATCTCTTTGCTAAAACCAGCTGCTATAACATTAACAATTTAACATTATTCCTATTGTCAAAGGAACTTGTTCATGTCATTACTTATCACCTCAATAATACTTTTTAAAAGCTTATGTAACATCTTTGTCCAATTTAATTGACACTTTTCACATGCTAAAAGATAATTGTGTTAATACACTATTGATATCACTATTGATTGGGTACTGGTGAATTATTCATTGTTAATACACTATTGATATCACTATTGATTGGGTATTGGTGATATCACTTTCGATGATTGGTGAATTATTTTAAATGAAAGTAAAAAGTTAACTTTTAGAGTAAGATGTTTACAAAAAGCTGGAAATTATTTTGAGTATTTAATATAACCGAATACGCATTAATATCCAGTTTGTAATTATTACCACATTACCTGATTCTGAGATCAAATGAGATTAAATGAGCACTAAAGATTCTTATTAAACATATTATTAAAGAAGTATACAAGAATTTTTAAACATTAAATATATTTCATTATGAAATATATTTAATCATTCAAGAAGTTTAAAAAAAAATGATATTTTTGACATAAAATCAAAGAGAAACTTATGTTATCAAATTACATTAAATATATATCACCATTTTTTTAAATTTACAATACTATGACCAAAGTATAAATGTTTTCCTTAGAAAAACAGCAATATTAATAAAAACTTTGGTTTAAAATCCTTAAAAAAATTTTTAAATTTATTTAAAAAATTATCTTAAAGTAAAAATCAAACTTATTAACTAAAGTTAACTAGTTTGTTACATTTGGTGCAGAAAATCTGCGTTAATTAAATTTGATTAAACAATCAAAGCCTGCAGAAAATATGAAATAGTTATGAACAAAATGTCTATTTTATTTATTAAAAACTCAGTATATTTTACTTATTGTCTAATAAGTAATACAAAGAAATGAAAAATGAGCAGATGTTCAGAAAGAATAAATATGAAATACTTATGGAAAAAAAAACTGTCAAGGAGTATATGTAATATGAACAATGAAAAATGAACAGATGTTCAGAGAGAATAAATATAAAATATTAATAGAAAAAAACTCTGTCAAAAAGAATAAATAATACAAAAAAAAAAATGAACAGATGTTCAGAGGAAATAAAAATTAAAAAAGAGTAGAAAAAAGATTAAAAGAAGTCAGCAATAACTTATTAATGATTTTTTAATAATAATTTGATTGTCAAGACAAAAAAGGACTTTTTGCTATACTTTGATAAAAAACAATTAAAGTTTAACAAATCAATATAACAACACCAGATAAAACAACAACTGAGAAAAAAAAAAGAATTCAAAAATTATAAATAGAAATCAAAAGCTAAAAATAAACATTATTGTTATAGACAAATTAATGCAGTATAATTTCAGAGCATATGCGTGACAACATCAGTATTACAACCTTGTGAATTGTAAAGTACTAATACTGTACTGTGTAATAATGAAAAAGTATAAAGATATAAAAACAAACAAAAATTCATATAAGAAAAAACTGGCAGAATTAATTAAAAACTTGCCTGTATCGTTAAATCTATAAAACATTACATTCAAAATACATGCAAAAACAGATTGGCATACATAGCATAACATAACTATACAAATTAAGCCAAACAAAAACATGTAAAAAGTAAAACTAAACTTTAATTAAAAAAAAAAAAAAATTTAATATTTTAAATAAACTTTTATTTCTTTTTAATATTTTTGCCAGGACAAACATTGATAGCAGATAAATTTATTTTATCTTAAGTTTTACTATTCACAATAAAAATAAAATAATAAAAAAAAACAACAATAAAAATATATCATAAATCAGGTCTTTCTTTGAAGCATAAAGTTTGAAGTTGATATGTAATAGTTATTTTAGTTACAATAAAAAAATTTTATTAAAGAATATTTGCATCAGTGTCTGCAAGCATTTAGTTATCAACATATTATTGTTAAGCAAGTTTTTTTAAAAACTAATTCACCTATAACAAGGCTGCAAACGACCACTATTTAAATTGGGAATTACCGGAAAACAAAGAATGAGTGAGGAAATCTTTGACAGAATAAAAAATTGTAAGTTGTATGAGTCAGAAAAACATGAAGATTGGAGAAATCTGAAGCATAGATGTGAAAAGGAAAAAAACTAGATGAAAGTTTTTAGAGCATGAAGGGACGGATGCAGTAAAAGGATGAGAAAAAAAATGTTTGTGTAAACATTATTTTATATTAAATCAGTTTTATTTACAGCAATCATTTATTATAAATTTATTTACAGCAATCATTTTTATTAAAATCAATCAAATCAATAAAAAACAAACAACATAGAAACAAAGTTTATTATTATTCTTTATCTCAAATTACTGCTATTTTACTTTGCAAAATAATAATACAAACTATTAAATAGAATATATTATAATTAAGTTCAAGCATTTTATTATTATTAATCATCGATATTATATTATATTTATTATTAAGCATAAATAGGTTTTACTTTTTAATTTGTACGATTGCAATGCATTTGCATAACAACAATATTAAAGTAGACCCATAATCCACCATTTTCAATAAATCTACAAAGAAAACCTAATTTGTTTAACTGCCTATTAGATTAAATGAACAATAGACTCCTCAGATTGTACTTTGATTATTAAAAGATCCTCAAACATAAGATTGAGATATGAATTGTAGTAAAGTTTTTTACAGCACAACTATGCTAAGCCGCTCTAAAATCAGAGAGAGGGTGAGCGAGAGGAAGAGACAACAGTAATGTAGTCTCTATAAGATTTATTCTTGGCTAATGTCCTGATGTGTAAACTTTATCAAGATATTCTTAAACTACTCAGAAAACAGTTTTAAAAAATCTTGTTAAGACGAGTTTCCACTCATTCGTTTTTCTGCGGGAACGGGATAGAAAAGGAAAAAATAATCACGTGAGTATGCGTAATAAAAGTTTTTATTTGTCCGAAAGAAAACTACGCATGCTCACGTGATTGTTTTTTCGTTCTCTTTCCTTTTCCCGTAGAAAAACGGATGAGTGGAAACTCACCTTTAAAGTTAGACAAAAGTTATCTATTTTACTATTCAAGAAATCAAGGGATATCACCTAATGGTATTTATAATCATTATTGTATTTTTATTACAACTCCATATTCTGTTGGAAGTCTGAAACTCAAAAAATAACTTATTTACATTATGCAAATAATGATATACAAAAATCAGATGCAAAAAATTGAAAATCAAAAATAATAAATGCAAAAATCAGGAAAATAATAGACCACAAGTAACTGATTAAAATATAATGAACTGACTCAACAATAACTTTAAACAAGGTTAAACTCAAAGAGTTCTGGGATTTAAAAACTTGATCTAATGTTACAAATAAACAAAAACAAAAACAACCAAACATGCCAATGAAAAGTGTAAAAATGGGACAAAAACATCATTATAATAAATAATAAAAAACACAAATAAAACATGTCTCTCATAAATTACTATTTTCAATTAGTATTTGTGAATGAAAATGATGATATTAACCTTTAATAAAAATGTTCACCACAATTTATTACTTACATTAAAAACTCTAAAAGGACTAAAAACTTGTTTAAACATGGTTTTAGAAATAAAATTTTAAATTACAAGCTAGTCTCCATTAATTCTTATTTGAATACCGCACTATTTAAAAACAAACATTCATGGCAAGGGTCGAATATGAAAATTCTTTTCTACAAAGCAAAAAACTCCAAGTTCAACGCCCACTAAATTTCTGTTAGCATTGTGCTTAACTTGTTTTCTGCTTACCAGCCTTGTTTGTCAATGTTCAAATTTCTGAGTCAAAGGGTTGAGGAGAGGGTCTGTGACAAAGCATAGAAAACAAGTTGAGTATGGAAGCTTCAGGGAAGTGGTAAATTTTAACTCGCATACAAAGCAAGCACTACATTACTACTGCATTATAATTGGGTAAAGATAGAAAATTAAGTGAACATACAACTAAAAGTTTAGCTAACATAGCAACTAGTTTTTGTTGTTAGGGAATGATTAAGGAAATTTTATTTCACAATAAAAACTTTAAAAATTTAAAAGAATTAAGTAGTAATTGCATATAGTAATTGTATATACTAACTGAATTTGTAATCAATTGTTAAACCTAAAAGTTTTTTTTTATAAAATCTTCAAACAAAAGCACTATTATTTTTAACAATAATATTATTTAAAAACAACATATGAATCATAAACACAAAGAATATCTTACATAAAAAACTTACAGCTTTGCTGACTTTATGATGAAAAGGTAGGCTGTCTGCATGAATGAACAACTTTAAAAGAATTTTCTGGCAAATCTGAATGAAAAAAGTTTATTTTAAAATAAAGTATAATATAAAAATTAAAGTTTTATATATTATATTTTAAATTTTAATTATTTAAATTAAATTATCAAATTAAATTTTGAAAAACTATTAAATTTTTTTGAAAATAAAAACAATAACCTTCACATCCCTTTCAGTAAGCTCTAATGACTTTCTTCGGGTTCCAATAGAAGCTAGAACATTAAAAAAAGTTATTTTATTGTAATCATAATCATCATTATCAAAAGGTTTTATCATCCAAAAAGTCTACCTGTGGGGGCTGGTTCAAGCTCAACACATAGACCACAGCTCCATGAGTCCCTGTAAAAATAGACAAATTATTTGAATACACTATAAAATAATTTATAATTTAAAAATTCTGATGACAAAACTTCCTATCTTTTATTAAAACATACCTTGGAAGATCATTCAAAACAGGAATGTGGCATTGCAAATGATAAACCTTTGGGCATGTATCACAACATAGCAATTGACCACCATTTCTACATACACCACAATAGTCTTCATTGTTTTGACTTTCATCAAATCCACTTTCACATTGATATTCTTCTTGGTTAATCCCATTCTAAATGTTTAATATAAACTTTTTTTAATTAATAAAAAACATTTTAAAATCTTTTTAGCAATTGTATAAAGCATCAAATCGAGACCAAGAAGATTATATATCAAAATTGTTTTATAGGTGAAAGTTTACTTAATGGAAGTTTACACAACTAGACTTTAGATAATTATTAATGCTTAACTAGCAAACCCTTTATACAATTCAAACCCAAAATACAAACTAATCTTATTGTCATTATTATTTTTTTATGGCTGTCACCAATTACCTTTTCCACGTTACATTTAAAAAATTTTCAGTCTACAGCTTATGAGTTTTCTTATGATTTGCTATTATTATATTTTTAAAACATATTACTAATATGAAAATTGCTGAAAAGTTGAATTAATCTCAAAAGAGCTCATTTGATGCTTTATAGTATTAACTATAATTTTACAAAACTGTTTTAAGAAATAGATCATTTGAAATAAATAATGAAAAAATCTATGAATTATATAATAGTAATATCTAATATATATATATATATATATATATATATATATATATATATATATATATATATATATATATATATATATATATATATATATATATATATTATATATTATATATATATATATATATATATATATATATTATATATTATATATATATATATATATTATATATATATATATATATATATATATATATAATATATATATATATATATATATATATATATATATATATATATATATATATTATATATTATATATATATATTATATATATATATATATATATAATTTTTCAGGCCTTAGTCAGCAAAAAACAGATACGTTACCCCCTCCCCCTTAAAAGATTTATTCAGAACGGCCCTGTATATATGTATATATATATATATATATATATATATATATATATATATATATATATATATATATATATATATATATATATATATATATATATATATATATATATATATATATATATATATATATATATATTCATATATTACTTTACTATGAATATAAATAAAAAATTAACATTATATAAATACAAGTTTCTATCATTATACAAATTTAATACTTCAGAGAAACTTGCCGCTGTTAAATTATTTTCAGGTGATTTCCGCTCCTCTTTAACATTGACAATAGGAGTGTGATGATTTGTTACTGATTTATCACTGACACTTGGTTCAATATTTTTTGTTGTTTCATTGGATGTACCCTGTTGCGATTGTGTATTTACTGATGTTTGTTGACATGATTTTTGAGATGAATGGTCTCCAACAGATAACCTACCAGACAAGTTTATATGATCACCAGATAGATTTCTCATAATATCTTGCTGAATAGACTTTGGAGATGAGTGAGTTATTGACGAGTCTACCATTTTTTGAATGTATTCGATATTGTTACCTTTTTCACTTGCTCCAGGAAAATAAATATTGGCATCTCCTCTGGGAGAAATGGTAGGATTTGATTTAGAATAATTGTTAATTAAAAGATGATTTGAGCGACTATTATAATTGTTTAAACAATTGATATCATAAGTGGGAGTTAAATGAGAAAGTGGTACATTTCGATTATATCTGTTAGTATCATTCACATTCTTGTAATTAATGTTATTTTGATTGGAATGCATTCCTTGGTTTTGTTGTGAAGAAGATAATATTAGCATATCTTGATTATGTGAAGGTAAGCGGTATGCATTTATATTAAAAGAACTCGGAGAGGTATTATTTCGCAAAGCAAGGTGTCCAGGTAAATTAAGAGAACCTTGTTTTGATAAGTTTATATAAGAAGTCGTATTATTACAAGTAGTGTCTGAAATGCGTTTATTAATGGCTGCTATTGATTCAATAGGATTATTCTTATTGTAGGAGCGAGAAGATGAAGAAATACTAAGTGGCGAGGAAAAATTTGTAGCTTTTGTATTAAAGTGATCAAACTTGCGTTGCATATCATCTTGTGAATAAACATTACCAATTTTGTTAAAATATGAGCACAATTTTTCAACATCCATGCTAAACTTTAAATCTGTAAAAGCTAATGGCCTTTGACGATATTTTAAACTATTTAAGTTATGCAATCGCGTACCTAAAACCTTTCTACTATATAACAGTGCCACATTACTTCCCCCTTTGACAGCAAACTCAGCAAAGTCATGATTATGCTCTAGAATTATTCTCATCTGTGTCAAATCTTTCTTCTGTTTAGTAAGTAGCGCTTGCTTACTTGAAACTATAACTTTAAGCTCTTTTATGAGACTCTCCTGTCTAGATCTTATTGCACTTACCATAGCATCAAATGATTTATTTACTTGAGCTTCAACTGTTGCTTCTTGTTCTGCTAGACCGGTACTTACTTTTTCAACTTCTTGTATTGTTTCTTTTAAAAATCCTAGATTAATTTGTAAATATTGTAATAATTTCCTTAAAATTTCTCTATGTTTAGATGCTGCTTCTTCAATGAACTGATACCTGTGGTCTTTATGTTCAACTAACTGACAATCTCGACATGTAAGTTTATCACAATTTGCACAAAATAAACGCAATTGTTCATGAGGGTGTACTTTACAAAACAAAGGTTTTTCTTTAGTTTGTGGATTTGATGTTCCAACTGGAGAATGTTCAGAACTAGATTGAGATTGAATAATATGATCTTTTGTAACTTTTACTCGTTGATGAGCAGTCACACAAACTTTACATAACCATTCATTACAATTCATACAATAAGAACCAGCAGGACTTCTATCATCACACGAGGTACATTGATGATTTTCAGCTTCAGAATTGCCTTGACTTTGAGTTGACTCAATAACAAACTGATTATTCAGAAAACCTGATGTTGGCTTGTCTGTACCTGTAACAAGGAATTCCTGCCCACAAGATGGGCATTTCATTCTCGGCACAACATTATTACATCCAGCAAGTCGCTTTTGTTTATCATAACGATCTTGCAAACACTTTTCACAAAAAGAATGAAGACATGGCAACAACTTAGGGACAGAACCTATAAGTATAGGATTATTTTTGCATGAACCGCATATAAAAAATCTTATATCAGAAGTTGTTTGAAGCTCTTTTAATGAAGAATCAATCAAACTAGCATTAAGTTCATTTTCTTCGGCAGAAAACTCCCCACCTTGTGAAAGTAAAGTACCACTATCATTTTGTTTAAGAGTAGTATCTTCTTCTACATCACAAGATTTTTTCTTACTGATATTAGCCTCTAATTCTATATTAATTTTAGATTTGAGAACTGTATCTGCAAGGTTTATATTTTCTGCTGGTGAAGCTTTGAAAGGATTATCTTTATCGGTAATTGGTTCACTAAAAACATCCTTTAAAACGTTATTTTCATGAATTATTTCTTTAACATTATTTTTTTCTATTATTTCGACATCAGATTTATCTGTAATATCCTCTTGCTCATGAATTATTGGAGAAAAAGATGCAAAATCGGAATCAACTGCTGATTTTTTCTGATCACTAAGTTCGTTCATATTTTTTTTAAGACTTTTTATTGAAACAGTTTTAAAATTATAATTTAATTTAACTTTGTTTTAACACTCTTCAAGGTTTTGGTAAAGCCTAATCATTATTGTAATCCCATTTACAAACTTCGGTGTGAACCGAAGTTAACGAATGAGTGAATTTGAGCGGTTTGATTGACAGGCCTGATGAATAATTACACATCTCGGGCATAACTTATTAGTTCCGGTCGAGAAATAAAACCCGATGCTTTATTTAATATCGAAGAAAAAATTTTATTCATTGTTTACTAATAATGATTAACTAATGCAATAAATATTAAAAAAAAAACATTTTATATATGTGTATATCTTACATTATTATTATTATTTTTTTATATTATAAAAAAACAAAATAATGTTGTTTTTTTTACGCAAAACATATTGCATAACCGGATGTACCCCCAGCAATGGCAGATTACGTGGAAGTTATCGCAATTTTAGAAGGCTAATTTTAATCATAAATATATTTATTACTATTACTTTTGCGTTTATAATCATAATGAAATAATAATAAAAGTATATATTTATATATACTTTATTATTATATCATTATGATTAAAGTATATATAAATAATTACATTTCACGCAAAAATATACTTTTATTTTTTGTTGAAATCTTAAAGAGAAATTTATAAATGCCGCACAAATGGATTATTGCCATTACCCTGCTCTATCCTCGGAGGGTTGTCAACTTCATAACTTATACTATCTACCCAAATCTTTGTAAGGTTACTCAAAAAAATCACTTAGACAACTTACCCTGGATTATTGGATAATGACTTAAAAAAATGCGCAACAAACATGAACAAAGTTGAATGGCATTGTTTTCTGAAAAATTACGATAGAAAAATAGTTTGTACGCCACTTTCTTGTTTTAAACTAATTACTTACTAGGTGCAACAAAAAATTTTCAATCAATTTCTTATTGTTAATATTTTTTTGATAAATCTAATAAGTTTACCCTTCAATCTTTATCATTTACATATGTATAATATTGCTTTAATTACTTTTGATATTTCGTACCTATAGATACATAAATAAGTTTTTAAATTTTCTTGCTGCAGAAAAAAAAAATTGTATACAGAATTTGTAAAGCAAAATAATAGTCCTGTTGTTGTTGATTGTTATTTTGGGATTGTAACATTGGGATTAAACGGATTACTTGACAAGTGATCAATACATATCACTTGTCATGTATTAAACAAATGGTACTCATTTTTATACGTTTACAATTTAATTTTTATGACAATTTTTATCGTTAATTTGTGCTCAAAATGTGCCACTGTGCCTCATATATGTTTTACATAGCCTTACTAATAAAATATTATATATCATATACAATACTTTATAATAAAAAATATATAATACTATATAATATATATATATATTATATATATATATATATATATTATATAGTACTGAAAATCCATAATTTTGATTCTCAGATCTGCACCTATTAATAACTGTTATAATAAAAACACTATTAATATTTTGTTGTTTTACAGTAAATGAAGGTTTTGGTTAATGTTAGGTGTTACAAGTGCAGTTTAGGGACGCGCATGCAATTTATAAAATCTTTAGTTTCTATATGAAAATAGTTGTCTAAAACGGAGGCACATAGCGCCCGTTTTTAACAACCATTTACAAATATAAACTTTATTTTGAGAAGTGAAATGAAGCCGAGTAGGCCAAAGAATTTAAAAAGAAAATGATAACCAGTAGTTTAAGAAAATTATTAGCAACTTAATCTAACTAAAAAATTTCTAATGAAACAAATAAAGCATAATAAAAAATAACACTTTTTATACAAAAATATATAAAAACGATTTAAAAAAATTTGGAGGCTTTTTTATTTCCAGGCTCCAAACATTGCAATTTTTTGCAAAGCATCCTATTTGACATAAGTATAAACATATAAATGTTTGGAGTTTGCTCCATGTATGGAAGTTAGTTATTTTAAATCCTAAAAAATGCTGGACCCGCCTTTCTGTAACGTTAACTCATATTAAATAAGTTTTTATTATAAACAGAAAATTATATGGCATTTTATTGTTGGTGTAAAACCAACTTATTCTTTCACAATAGCGAAACTGTTATCAATTGCAAAAGTATGAGTTGGGTTTTACACCGACTTTAAAAATCCTGTTATAGATATTTGAAAGACAATAACTTATTTAATGTCAAATAACGTTGAATATTTAATATAATTAAATGTCAGAGTTATGTATATGTATAACATTAAATATTATACATATTCATTACTCAGACATTTAATTATATTAAATATATAGCTTTATGTAACATTAAATATATAACATTATGCTATATATTTAATGTTACATGAGGGTCAGGGCAATAACATCCGTTTTGCCATGTATAATAACATCCGTGAAACAACATCCCAAATTTCATTGATGTATAATAACATCCGTGCAATAACATCCCAAATTTCATTGATGTATAATAACATCCGTGCTACATTTGTAGATGTTTTGGATGTAACTACATCCGAATTTTTTTTTTTAATGCAAAATTTTAACCAGATGTAGTTACGCATCTGATTTTTTTTTTGGATGTAACTACATCCGCCAAAAAAAATTATTGTAATGCATTATTTTAAGCATAATAATTTTTTTTTAATTATTTGATAGACTGCCTGCCCAAACCTAACCCTCAGTCGATGAAGCAGCACTCCGTTGCGAGTCAGGTTATTTGTCAGTCGATGTAGCAGCACTTATATAATTTTATAATTATATATGTAAGTTATAAATGTAACTACATCCGGAATTTTTTTTTTAACAATGCATTATTTTAACCAGATGTAGTTACACATCTGATTTTTTCCGGATGTAACTACATCCGAAAATTTATTTTATTTAATAATGCATTATTTTAGGCGGATGTAGTTACATATCGAGAAAAACTTTCGGATGTAGTTACATCTTTTTAAAGATGTTATTAGACATCAATGAAATTTCGGACGTTGTTGCACAGATGTTAATTCAGTAAAGAAAAAAAGCGGATGATCTTACACAAAAATGTGCGGATGTAAATTTCACTACTCAACGGATGTTGTTGGACAGATGTAGCAATCTTTTCCCTTATGTGACATTAAATATATAACGTTATGTGATATTAAATATACAACGTCATGTGACATTAAATGAGTTTATGACATAATGAAACATTATGTGACGTTAAATGAGTAATTATCCTTCAAATATTTATAATAAATAAAAAGTGTAAATTTTATAACTAAATATCATATTTTTTATGGTTTTTGTATATTTTTGAATAAAGTTTTACTTTTTATAATACTTTGTTTATTATTTCATTAGAAACTTCTAAATTAAACTGTTTATTGCTATTTTCCTAGTTTTTGCGTAGGAGCTTAACTAACTAAAACTAAAATTTTCAATGCTCTTCTCAGGAAAAACCGGGACAATGGCAGCCGTAAACTTTATTGGTAATAATTGTCTTAAACAGCTGATTATCATATAACTGTTTGATGAATTTTTTTTTATTTCTTAGTTTTTCTTTTACACTAATGCATTCAAAGATAACATAAAAAAAAATCCATCAAGTTCATGGCTTGTCAAATTTATGCAGAGGTATCAAAATATACGTTTTTGCACCGCGGAAGCAGTAAATCAAACTACGTCAAAAGTTTTAGGTCAAGATATTCATGTCTTTTTTGATTGTTTATCTTTGTATTTTGAGCGTAATAGATTGGTCACCATAATAAAACGCGATGATGCCTATTAAAAAAATCTTTAAAAAAAAACCACGGCAGCTTTACAGAAGGTGGAAAAAAATTGAAAAAAAAAAAATTAACTTTGTAATCTCTAAAACTTATTTAATGTTCTTCTTATATATTACTTCTAATATATTACGCAAAATTTAATGATATTTTATTTATAATAATCTATTATGTTATGAGAACTCTGACCATTTGAATATTAAAATTAAAAAAAAAAAAATTACAATAACATATTAGTAATTTCAGTGAGATAAACGTTATGTGATATTTCAATTACATCTGTCTTGTCAAAACACCAAATTGGTACATGTTAATTCACACTATCCCAACGGGCGTTTGTTGGTTTAAAATTGGTTTAAATCACGTTTAGATGGCATTTACGTCGATCTAAACATTTAGGAATCTATTCTAAACGTGCTATTTGCGTTGAAAAGCTAAATCAAATAATTTCCGTATGTAACTAACTTAATTCAGGGTAGGTACAATCGGCATAGCAGAGCAGATTGGCAGAGCAGATCATTGTAGTGTTGATAGCGGCAGAGCAGATTATCCAATCAGCCGTTTTTTAATGTGTGATCTGCTAATTATTATTTGGCAGATCACACATTATTCAAATATTATTTGGCAGATCACGCATTATTAAAATGTAATTTTTCAGATCACAAAATTAATTCACACATAATGTGTCGAACATTTTGAATCTTTCATTATGATTAAAAGTTAGAATTTCTTATGAATCTTAAATTATGTAATAAATAGTTTAGAAGAGATAAAAGAAATTTGTTTTTAGTATTATAATGTGGTTAATGAAGCAGCTAAAAAGTCCTGTAAGTTTTTCGATAATACTGTATAAGCGATTAAAAGTAATTTTAAGTACAGTAACAATGTATTTTGATAATTCTTTATTTAGTTATTGCTACTAAAATAGCAGTTTCAAAAAATTATCAGTAATTTCAAAAAAGTATCAGTTTCAGCATTTTTTTTTAAATATTTCTTAAATTGTTTTTTCTGATTGGTTTTTAACAACGCTATAGAACTAATTTTTAAATTTTTAAATCCTAATTTTTCTAATTTTACTAAAAGTAGAAAAATTATGAAAAATAGTTACCACCACTTGCAATGCATAAATTTTCTCTAAAAGTTTTAGAGAAAAATTATGCATTTTAAGTGGGAACTACTTTTTAAATAACTAAATAAAATTATTATTGTTTGTTTATATTAAAACCTAACATCTATTTGTTTATGATTGATGTTATATTGATCGAATAGCAATGTTATAATATTTATACTTTTAGTGCAGTCAGTGCCAATCAAAAATTATGAGGTTCAAACATTTATATAATGGATCTTCAGTTTTAGTGTAGGCTTTTAGTGTAAACTAAAAAATATTTTTAAAAGTTTAAGCATTATTCATACTCCTATATGATAACCTCTAAAGAGAAAATAAATTTACTTACCTCTGATATGATAGATTATTATATTGTATCATCTATTTTCTCTTTAGTAGAAAAGTTAACATGGTTCGAACAATAATATAGTTATATTACATAGTTATATTATACTTCTAAAATCTGCGCAAATATTTTTTTTATTGTTTATTAAGTTTTGCGTGTTTATTTAATTTAATATTTTATATACAGTCCAGCCAGTTGCAACAACAATTAAAGCAGCAAAAACAATTAAAGCAGGAAACAATTAAAAAAACAATTAAAGCAGGAAACAGCCAAGTACACATGCAAGTGGTAAATTGATTTTTTATGACATTTTTACTCCTTTAAAATTTAAATTTTCCTAAAACAATAACTAAGTTAATGGCTATTTCTGTAAAGATCATAATGTAAGATTAAAGGTAATTCCTGTTATATTTGAAAGGTACATAGATGATTGGTTCGAGTCTTTAAAGTTTAAATTAGGTAAAAGAGAGTTCAAATTGTTCTGTTTTTATCTTATGCTGTTTATCTAAAAGCTATTGAAATATTTATTGCATTATTTTTCAATTATTTTATTATGTTATAAAAGACCTACCAAGTTTGAAATTTTACGGGTCGAATTATATAGTATGTATATGTATATCATCCCTCGGAATTAGGAAAACTAAAGTCAGCAAAAAAAGCTAAAAAACTAGACAACTAAACTTATTTAAAACACTTTTAACAAGTTTAGTCACAAGTTAATGTTATGTGTTGATGTACCTTCAACCAAATTAGTGTTAACATTTTAACAAAATGTCATATCATCAGGCTGTTTGATTGGAAGAACCAAAAGCTTGATATTTTATTGAATTGTTATTTTAGTTTGTGATATAATAATTTTTTATTCAAAAAATGTTAAATAATTTACTTTTTAAATTTATTTGTCATTGCCTTGGATAAGATGTTTTGTTATTCCTTTTACAGATTGTTATGAGGACTGCAAAAATTTTTAAATATCACAAACTGAAGAAGGTATTGATAATCAGCGGATAATAAAAAAAGCAAAAGTACTGATTATACAAATCTTTTAAAGGTTTCATTTTAATTTGTTAATGTTTATATAGAAACTAATAATATATAAACTGAAAATAAAAACATATAATTAATCCATAATTGTGCGTTACTCTAATCTAAATTAGTTTTTATTTTAATTTCTTTGGAGTTAATATTACTAGTTTAAAACAATTACAGTAGTAATTGTTAATTATGGAAAAATTGCACTAAAAATTGAATAAATGGTTTGTTAAAGCAAATAATATTATATATATATATATATATATATATATATATATATATATATATATATATATATATATATATATATATATATATATATATATATAAATATATATATATATATATATATATATATATATATATATATATATATATATATATATATATATATATATATATATATATATATATATATATAATAAATTTAAAAATAATAGTTTTATTTAGTTTGTTCTAATTTTTATGTAAAAAAAAAAAAAAAGAAGCAAGTTTTAATTAGTAAATGATTAATCATTTTTACAGTAAAGTAAAATAGTTCTTATTTTTTAGTTGAGGAAGAATTTTAGGTTAATGCTAATGCAAAAGGTACGAATATTGATAGTTAGTTACTTTTATCTTTAAAGACTAATAATAATTGTAATGAACATATCTCAAACAATATACACTCGGATTTACATTTTAGTTAAACGATCACTACTTCTACAGGCACCTTGTCTCAAGCATTCAATTGAATTCTAAGATATCTTTATTCAAATCAAGTGTGACTACTATACCAAAAGACTGAAAATGGATCAATCAAGTAAGATGTCTAAATTTATATCTTTTATATAAAACTCTTTCCCTTTTAGATAAACCTGTTTATTTTATGACTGATAAACATATTTAGCAATGTAATCCTTTTAAGATAGACTTTTTAAAATCAAATTTACAATGCTTTAGTAAATTTTTATTTAAAATAACTTTTTATACATAATATATCTATATAGTTATTTACATTGTAGCTAACCCATCCGTACTTGCAAAGTCTCCTTTTTTGTTAGCTCGAAAATTGAGTTCTAAAATGCATTATTCACCTAACTACTATATCAAAGCACAAACTAATGGATTGATCAAGTAATACTTAATTTTTAGCTTAAGTTGCGTGTTAGTACATATATATAAATTTTATAAATATATATATATATATATATATATATATATATATATATATATATATATATATATATATATATATATATATATATATATATATATATATATATATATATATATATATATATATATATATATATATGCTGTACAGATATTGTTATAAAGTAATAGAATACTATATAATATTGTATTACTATGTTTAGGAAGGGCACTGCAGTTGTCCTGCAGTTATGCAACTTATCAACCCATAACTACGATAGCTACAAGTTTTTTTAATAAGGTTTTTATAAAATAAATGTTATATATTATACAGAGTTTTAATGAAATGTTCTTTATGAATTGTTACTGTAGTTACTCAATGTACACTGTACTAATGTACAATCTTCTATAATCTATAAAACTATGGATTTATAAATGTTAAATGGATTGTTAAATGAATGATTTATATGAATAGAATGAAGATGTTTATTGAGTTATTTTTATTATTTTTAGGAAAAAGATTGTATGACTTCGGTATCTGCAATATGGTACCGTGCATTGGTTCTTATCTTAGAATGGCTCCCTTCCGTATAGGTGGAAATAGGAAAGGTTATGTCCTTTTTTCTAATTCTTAAGACAAAGAGGCTTAATCAGTTCAAGCAAAGATGACAATGATCATTATAGAGCCTATCTTGATGACGAATACGATAATGCATATAATAATAAATAAAATGATTTTACTTGTATTTTAGATTTATATAAAAAAAAATTATCTGTTTAATGTTTGATTTGTTTTTGAGTATTTAGATAATGCGTTCAGCGTTTAACTTTTCTTTACGGTACTTATTTAAAGCAGCTTAAATAAAAGAAAAGTTTGATTCGTTTATCAGTATTTTTTTATTTATTTATGCTTCTTTAAATAAGCCCCGTAAAATAAAGTTAAACGTCGCGATGTTTAAAACGAAAGATTTAGATGGAGTTTAAATAGTGTTTAAAACGAGCCATTTAGATATGGTTTAAATGGAACATTCGATTGACCTACGTTTTAAATCGAAACTAAATTAAATCTAAACATTTAGAACGAACATTAACTAAACGTTGATTAAATCTTCAAATGCCCGTTTTCAGAGAAAAAGCATGGGTATTCTGGGTATTCAGAGAAAAAGCATTTTGCTGATTAAATTTGTCATTGCATATTATCTCAGCACTTAGAAGATAAAACCATTGCATACTTATTTCTTCATTATCTTAGCAATACTTTGAAGATTAAAGATTAAAAAAAATCTTTAAGAAAATATTTTTTTGCAGCACTTCAACTAAAGATTGACACAGTTTGTCAATAGCTATCTTATAAGCTTTAATTGAGTTTCCACACGTCTCCTTAAGTCCCCGTCTGATTTTATGTTTCAATTTGGTTGCTATGGTATCTATTTTTGCATAACTACAACTTATTATTACACTAACATTATTTTAACAGTTTTTTACTTGCGCTATGTTCCCTATATTAATCGTGTGTATTAAAATGAGATTCACACTTCTTATGACAGTAATCTTTTTATTTGTGTTTTGAAAAAAGCTTCCTATCAATGACGTCAAGGGCGCAAAGTTGAAATGTTATCCTCCAAATATAACAGTGGAGGACTATTTAGCTCAGCTCCTTTGAAAAATTTAATGATTCATACTTAGGTCACTTTGAATGATTCATAATCAGGAGCCTGTGCTAAGACACTTGGTGTTGAAAGACAAATTAATAAAAATAATGACTCTCACGTGCAAGTCTGATCTTTGATGGTGCTACTAGCCAAAGCATTTACAAGCAAGTTATGTCAAAGTCTGACCTTATTTATTACTTCTCAAGTCTTGATAATATATTAACTAATAACTTTCATAACAACCGTCTTAACACAGGTATAATCAAAACTGACTTATCAGATCATTTCCCAGTTACTAATAACATAACAAGTAACAGCATTCCTTTTAAAACTACCGTATTTAGGCAAATCAATCAAAACTCCGACAAATCAATCAAAACTCCGTAAAACAGTTTCAAAACCCTTTAAGAAACAACGTTGATTTAAAAGCAGCCGTGGCGCAGTGGTAGCGCACTTGCTTCAGAAACGTAAGAAACCCTCCTCTGGGCAAGTTTTGCGATATCGGTTGGAAAGGAGGCGTGAACTTCCTATTAAATGCTCTTCCGCGGTGCTCTGTGATAAGACCGTAAGGACTTCTTACGGTCTTATCACAGAGCACTGGTATTGCAATCAAACGGTGCTAACAACTCATATGATCTATTTCTAAGTCAATTCTGAAAAAGCGTTTCCTGAAAGAAAAAAAAAAGATTGTGAACACAAAAACAATTTTTTTCAATTTTTTTGACTTCATGGATGTCCAATGAGTTACCAAAATCCTCAAAAATTATATGATAAATACTTAAAAAAAACAAACAATTTATAAAAACGAAATGACATATAAACACTATAGAAATATATTCGAAAAAACAGTAGCAGGAAAAAATCCCCCTGAAAAAAATCCCCCCCCCCCGAGAAAAAATCCCCCCGGAAAATATCCCCCCCGAAAAAATTTTTTTTTTTAACATAAAAATTATCAATAAAATAGTTATATTTATTTATTTTAAATAGTTTTATAAAATACTTCATTTTTCATCAAAATTTAAAGTTATGCGCTATTCTGCTACATCGACTGACAAATAGCCTGACTTGCAACAGAGTGCTGCTGCAACAGAGTGCTGCTACTTGCAACAGAGTGCTGCTACATCGACTGACAAATAGCCTGACTTGCAACAGAATGCCGCTACATCGACCGAAGGTTTGGGTTAGGCTGGCAGTCTATCAAATAATTAAAAAGTATATATATTTTCATATTGTTTTCGTCTAGTTTTACTTAATTTCCTTTTATTTTTTCTTAAGTAATTTTTTCACTTAGGTTTAGGGTTAGGGTTAGGGTTAGTGACCCTTTTTGAATCCAAATTGTTTATTATAAAGAATGTTATTAATATCTTAGAAATAGTACAGTCTTTTATACATAATATGTTCTAAAATTTTTGAAAAGCAAGGTAGTATTGAAATAGGTCTATAATTTTCAATACATGTTGCATCTACAGATTTTAGAACCGGCATCACCTTTGCAAATATAAATTTTTAAAATAAATAAAGAAATAAACATAACTGAGTATTGTTAATTTTTATGTAAAAAAAAAATTATTTGGGGGAGGGGGGGGGATATTTCCCGGGGGGATTTTTTCTCGGGGGATTTTTTTCGGGGGGATTTTTTCCCGGGGGATTTTTTCCTAGAACCCGAAAAAACAAAAAGAAGCTCTAAAAAGCTTTATTATGCAAAGCTATTAACTTAACTAAAGGAAAAGCATATTAGCATTGCAAACGGAAACGGAAACTTGGAATGTAATTAAAAAAGTAATTGGTGAAAATAACTATGCAAGAAACACTCTGCCAAAAAAAAATAACAATTGATGAAAAAAAAATTTACGATAAATCAATTATTCCTTAAAAACTTTTTTTTTAGGAAAAAACAGTTTTCCTAAAAAAAAAATTTTTAAGGAATAATTTAATTTGTTTTTTTAGGAAAAAAACATAATACTGAAATGAATTTGAATTCAGAGAAGTTTTTGATGCAGAATTTGTTTTTTTAGGAAAAAACAAATTCAGCATCAAAAACTTCTCTGAATTCAAATTCATTTCAGTATTATTTAAAAAACTACGATAAAGTTATGGATGAAACAGTTACTTCTACAACCCAGTGTTTTTATTTATATACTTTTACATTGTAAAAGGTATTAAACTGCAAAATAAACAAACAAAGGTCCGATTTGATTTGACTGGATTTAACAACAGCAATAAAAAGGTGCTTACTTGGAGAAATCAAAAGTTATTATCCAAGACATACTGTGGACCCTTAAGATTCATACAAAAAAGAATCTGTGCTTAAAGAAGATTAAAAATGTGATAGAAAGATTATGATTTATTTGACGATTGATAAAGTGTAAAGTTATTAAACGTTTGGGGATCTCTTATTAAATAAAATTGTTTTATTGAATTTATAATGATTAATGGAAAGGGTTAAAACGATATTATTTGAAACCACTAAATCATTCCTATGTTCCTCAGTATGTGGTATTTCTCTATCCTCATAGAGATATTTTCAGATATCCGTAATAATGATATCCAAAGATATCTTCAATACTGATTATACTTACAGATTATCCAGTCTTGCATCCATGGATTCAATTTTTTGAGACGATTTTGCCCATTACATATAAAAAAGAAACAAGAAAATGGTAAGCATGATCTACATGGTAGATCATGCTTGATGTGTAAACCAACATCACACCGAACAAATCATAAAACATTTTTATGAGATATTTTAAATTTACTTAAACAACCTTTAAATGATATTATTATTTTATAAATTTTTGATGTAATTTTAAATTGACAATGTTTTCTTGCACTCTTTTTTGTTTTTATTATTGCTAAAACATTAATTACCTAAATCTTAAATTGTTATTAAAATAGGTGGGTTGAAAATGAGATAAAATTAATTCAAAAATCAATTTACCCCTATGTAACTAAAGAAAGAATCTGGTTAGTAAGCAGTATTGGTATCTATAGCAACTAAATAAAAAAACTATCAATTTTATAAGAAAAGTGATTTCATATTGGTACGCAAAATTTAGTAAATATAGCATTCGGATCTACAGCAAATTGGTAATAATCAAAATTAGGTATCCATATCAACAAAATTAAAAAAAATACCTTCAAAGAAGAAGTGCATACATTATTTTATTACATACATTATTTTACTACTGTAATTTAAACAATACACATATAAATATGTCAATATAAAAGAATCTTTTATATTGACATGTTCATATGTGTTTTGTTTAAATTGTCATGCTTTTTTTTTGTGTGTGGTGTTGTTGCTAATTATTGTTATTATTGTTTATCTTTTAAAGATGCATAAAATTACACGTCAGTTTAAACAAAAATAAAAATTCACAACAATATAAACAATACACAAAAATACACCACAATTTAAACAATTCAAAAAACATAAATAATTAAAACTTAAAAGTTGTTTTTATTTTTTTTTTGTTTTCTTTTTAAAGTTTTGAATATTCAAAAATCTCAAAAACATTTTTTCGGGAAAAGATAACTACATCTGTCCAACACTGTCCGTGAAAACTACAACTGTCCAACAACGTCCGTGAAGAAGTGAAATAATCTTAGAGCATTAAAACTGATTTTTAATAGAAATCTGATGAAACAACATTTGCACAATTTTGTCTAAAATTATCCGCTTTTTTTCTTTACTGAATTAACATCTGTTCAACAACATCGAAATTTAATTGATGTCTAATAACCTCTTTAGAAAGATGTAACTACCTCCGGGAGTAATTTCCGGACGTAGTTACATCCGAAAAAAATCAGATGTGTAGTTACATGCGGTTCAAATAATACATTTTTAAATTATTTTTTTCCCGGATGTAGTTACATTCGAAAAATATCAGATGTGTAACTACATCTGGTTAAAATAATGCATTGTTAAAAAAAAAAAAATTCCCGATGTATATAAGTTACATATATAATTACTATATTATTTTTATTATGCTTAAAATAATACATTATAATAATTCTTTTTTGGTGGATGTAGTTACATCCAAAAAAAACTAGATGAGTAACTACATCTGGTTAAAATAATGCATTATCAAAAA